GGAAGAAAGCAGGACTTATTGAATGAATCCTTCAGATGATGAGAAGCGCAGACTTCAGTGCTGACATCACGCTAAGCTGGACTTGCTTGTGGACAAAGGGAAGCGTGGAGATTTCTCTGCTCTCCTCTCAGGATAGGAAACTTGGCCGCTGTCGGGCATCAGCTGGAACTGGCCTCTTCCTGCTGAGACAGGGCAAAGAAGGGCCCAGTGCAGCCAGGGGGCCCCAGGGGAAGCCCGCTGCAGTCCTCGCTTCCTGGTCCCAGTTGTCTGCACTCACAGTTCCTGTTTACTATCAGTCTTAGTTTAATGGCCTCAAGCCTAGAGGGAACAAATCTGACAAGAAGGTTTAGGAGGCAGGAACCAAAAAGCAGTCTTGCATATGTGGGTCCAGAAAAGCGAAGACCAAGAAGGAACTCGAGTTGGGGAGAGTTCCGAGGAGCTTGTTTGGGGACTGAGCAAAGGCATCTATCTGGTCAGGCAGTGATTGGCCATAGGAGAGGCGAGTGTGTGCAGCATTCATTCTGCAAAAGAAAAAAGAAGCCTCCTCCCCATTGGCTAACCTGGGTACTGCATCTTTGATAAAAGGAGAAGTTAAAATACCAAGAACTGCAGGTTTTACGTTTTAATCAAAGTTAGTTTCTTCAGATGACAGGCTTTCCTGGCTTGGCAGGAAAAACAGCTCCATCCCTGGTAAATCTCTGTTCTCCACTTTTAGTTTATATGGTCCCGAGAAGACCAAATCAATAATCAGTTCAACTGAAAAAACTGGAAACATGAGTTCAGAAAGTCACAGAGGGGCTGGAGTGAGAATATAGTGAATAAGGTTTTTACCTTTCACTTGACTGGCTCAAGTCTGATCTTTGGCACCCCATATGGTCCCCTGAGCCTGCCAGGAGTGATTCTCTAGAACTTCCCCTGAAAGAGTGGCTTTACCTCTGTCTATTGTTATGACAATGTTCAACCCCACCTATGTGTACTCCCACCCTTCCCTTCATGATTTCTATATAACTATGCTGCCCCCATGCCTGGCTGTCTTCACCAGGGCCCCTTCAAGGAGGGGGGGGGGTTGGGTTGAGTTTCCCTCCCCGCCCTGAACAGAGCCCTGGCAGCTGAAGACCTCCGGAACCCAGCCACAGCCATGCTCAAGACCAGTCTCTACTGGCTTTGATGAGCCTCACGCATAAAGGAACGGACAGAGAAACCCAGCTGTGTGGGACCCGGGGCTGAGATCTCCAAGCCTGCTCGGATTGGAACTGGGCCTCCTCCACCCAGATCCCCCATCTTCCAGTAACTAGGCAGTTACACCCACCAACTGCCCCCAGCGCCATGTAATCCCATCAATGGCCAAGATCCAGAGACTATAAAACCAAGCTCCCGGAAGCAAATGCAGCCGCGCAACCTCTTATTGTACAGTTCTTACTCTCAGAGAGCCTGGCAGGCTACTGAGAGTATCCTGCCCACACGGCAAGTCTGGCAAGCTCCCCGTGGCATATTCAATATGCCAAAACCCAGTAACAATGATGGGTCTCATTCCCCTGACCCTGAAAGAGCCTCCAATGTGGCACTTGCTAAAATATTAGGGCTAGGACGAATGGAGACGTTACTGGTGCCTGCTCGAGGAAATCGATGAACAACGGGATGACAGTGATACAGTGATGCTGTAAGGGGTAAGAAGGTAGAGAGCTACGAAGAGACTAGGGTGATGGAACGATGGTGGCTGGGACTACGACCAAAACTACAGCCGCAATTGTGCTGTAAGGGGAGGGATCAGACTACACTGGAGAGGAGAGAGAAGTAAGCTCACTACCGACCAGCCTGGCTCCCAGGTTCTTTTCCTCCGTTCCCCCGGTCCTTCATCCCTCTGTTGCCACGGGCCAGCCAGGGGAACGCTTCTCAGCCACCGGAGGCTCTCGCCCCCCATGCGCCCATGCTTGCTTTTGAAACTCACATCCACCAACACCGGTTGTTTCCTGCCTTTCTGATATGTGCCATTCTCACTGAAGTGGGGCGATGTGTCATTGTCATCTCGTTTTGGATTTCCCTGGTGACAACTTTTTATCTGCCTCTTGGCTATTCTTCTGTCTTCAGAGAAGGGTTTGTTCTTCTCTGCATTTTTTGATGGCGTTACTGGTCTTTTCATTGTTGATCTTTGTGAGTGCTGAACACTCACATATCTTGGATATTAACCCTTAATATATAATATCTTGGATATTAACCCTTTATCTGACATAATGTGTGCAGATATATCTCTGCTGACAAGGAAGCCTTCTTATTGCAGAGCACTAGGTCTTAAGGTCTTAAGGTGGCGGCTGCTGGAGTTCTTTAAGATGTATTAAGATCTTGGACTGGCAAATGACAAAGGGAGTCCTAGGGATTTCTTTCACTGGCCCTCTCCTGGCCTTGAGCAGTGGGACCCTGGACAGTGTCCGTGTGGGCCGAGATCACTGAATAAGGGGAACCTCGAAGGAGGTGAGTTGAGGTGAAGGGGCTTCTAGTGGGGTGGGGGCTGGTGGGAGGCTGAGTTGGAGGGCAGGTGCTGGCCACCTTGTCTAGCTTGAATGTGCACAGTGGGCAGCAGACTCTGTGCAGTCACCCTGGTTCTCAGGAGAGGAGATCCTGGAGGTAGCTGCTGGCAGGTACCCTCAGAGGTCGGCCGTAGCCTTTTCCAGCGGCCAGCCTCCGACAGCCCTCGTTTTGCAGAGCCCTGAGTCCTGAGCCTCTGGGAGGTAGGAGACAAACAGCGGGACCCTCCCACTGGCCCTGGGTCCGGGTCTGGGGGAGGATCTGGTGGAAGGGCCTGGTGGGAGGGTCTGGCTCCTGGCCTGCCGGCCCCCCAGCACAGAGCGTCCTTGTCTGCTGCCTGCACTGCCCACCAGACTGGCAGATGCTCCCGGACCAGCCAGCAGCCTGACTGGTGAGTCCCCTCTCCTCTCCTGTCTGCCACCCACGGCTGGGACCAGCTCCTCTGGTGCTTCTGCTGTGCCCGGGGGCTGAGGAGAGCGTGCACCCCAAGGTTCCGCACAGGTTCTGCTAGGGCAGGCTTCTTCCCAGGTAGGTGTCCTGTGGGGGGTCCCAGGGTGGTAGGATTAGAGATCAAGATGGGCACAGAGTGAACGGGGCCTCCCACCCTGTCCCCAGCTCCCTCAGGCGGGCTGTCTGCAGTGCTCCCAGGGCTGTTCTTGGGCCCAGCTCCTGGAGGCCCGTGGCAGCGGGATAGGTGCCCTGTCCCTCCCGGCTGCAAGTCCTTTGTGCTGTGTGCTGCCCCTGGATGCCGTCTGGCAGAGGTGATGGCCCCGGGACAGGCCCCTATGGTGGTCCCAGGGCCAGTAACCCGGTTCTCTTGGAGGTCCCACAGTCTCCTCAGACTTGCCCTTCCCCTTCTGTGCTGCGAGGCCCCTGAGGCAGCTTCCTGGGGAGGTGCTGCTGAGGGGCAGGGTGGGCAGTCCTGGGCTTGAACTGCACGCACCCCGAGCCACCGGCAGCCCGGAAGGAGTCGTCTCTGTCAGGCTGGGGCTGGGCTCGAGCCTCAGCTCTGCCCGCCTGCCCATGGCCTCAGAGAGAGCGTCTCAGTGCCTGGCTGGGCATGTGGTCCCGCACCTGCTACCACTGCACAGAGGCTCTTTGAGTGCAGATGGGATGGGGCCCAGCTCCTGGGACACAGCTGCTCTCAGAACCCAGAAGCCCAGCGGTGGCAGGCGGGGGTCCTGGAGCGGGGGTGGCTGAGGGAGTGTATGTCTGGGGACGCCAGGCTGGGAGACTGAGTGAGACCTCTGCACCTTACAAGGCCACTGGCAGGGGTGGGGGCTCACTCTTCACCAGACATGTCTTTGACGTGACCACTTCTGGCCGCCCGCAGCCCTGACTCTGCTCTGTGTTCCAGTGGCCTCCATGTGCCTGGCCCTGGGCTCTGACATGGGGGCCCTACTCCCCTTGATGCTGGCTGAGCCCCTATTTACTCTAGTTCCTGTGTGTGGGCCGGCTCAGGGAGGCCCAGACATGGCCTCCCTTTCTCCCTGCGGGGCCCAACGCTTGTCTGTGTGACAGAGCTGGAGCCCCTATAGCTTGTCTGCCAGGCAGGACAGTGGGATGGCAGGGCCGTGTCCTCTAGGGGTCTCTCTGTCCTCTGGCTTGGACCTGGTTCCTTTGGGCACCCTTGGATAGGGATGACCCTGTCAGATATCCCAAGTCCTCCAGTGCCTGGGACACTGAGCAGGGAGTTGCCCTGTCTCCACAAAGGCTGCACCCAGGCCTGAGGGGTAGACCCCTTTTGAGCAGATCCTGGGCCCTCGTGGTTTCTGCAGGTACGCTTCCACATCTTCCCAAAAAGCCCAGAGAGAACCTGGAATTTAAGGTGTAAGGTGGTGGGGCAGCTGGGGCGCTGTCCCCAGGAAGTGTCTGTGCACGAGTCTGTGAGCACGTGAATGTGCAAGTGTGAATGCAAGTGTGTGTCTGAATGTGTGCAGTGTGAATGTGTGTGCAAGTGTGTGGGTGTGTAAGTGTGCAAGTGCGAGTGTCTGAGTGTGTGTATGAAGGTATGACTGTGTCTGAGAGTGCGAGTGTGTTTAAGTGTAGAGTGTGAATGTGTGTCTGTGTGTGAGAGTGTGTTTCAGTGTAGTGAGTGCAAGTGTGTGAGAAAAAGTGTGAGAACCTGTGTGTTTGTGAGCCTCTGTGGGTTCTCTGGTCCTGGGGTCCCCATGTGGGGACGCCAGGCCCCCTTCGGAAGCTTTGGGCCCTGCTTCCCCACTTACGTGACCCGGTGGGTGTGGGCTGGGTAGGGTTAGGGTCCTGACCAGGCTCGCTGCGGGGGGCTGGGACACCAGGTAGCTCCTCCTGTTCTGTGTGCTGTGCTGAGACAACAAAGGAAGGAAGACGTTTGGGGGTGCAGTGGGGGGTGGGGAGGGCCCTGGATCTGGGGACACAGGGGTGTGGCTAGGTGAGGGTCTGGGCTCAGGCGGGAGCAGCTCCCTGCCCACACTCCATGCAGCCCTGCCCTGTTGCAGAGCATGGGGACCTCACACACGCCTGTGCGCACGGTGCTGTTCCAGCGTGAGAGGACGGGGCTGACGTACCGTGTACCTGCACTGCTGCCCGTGCCCCCCGGGCCCATCCTGCTGGCCTTTGCAGAGCAGCGACTCAGCCCTGATGACTCCCACGCCCACCGCTTGGTGCAGCGCAGGGGCACGTGGGTGGGGGGCTCTGTGCAGGTGAGTGGGGGTCAGGGTTTGTGCAGATGAGGGAAGATTACTTGCAGGTGAGTGGGAGAGGTTGTGTAGGTGAGTTGGGGGGTCTCTGCAGGTGAGTAGGGGGTTTGGATAATGATTTGGGGGGGTTTGTGCAGGTGAGTTGAGGGTTCTGTGTATGTGAGTGGGGGGTCTTTGCAGGTTAGTTGGGGGGTTTGGGTGATGAGTTGGGGGGTCTGTGCAGGTGAGTTGGGGAGTTTGGGTGATGATTTGGGGGGTTTGTGCAGGTGAGTTGGGGGGTTTGGGTGATGAGTTGGGAGTCTGTGCAGGTGAGTTGGGGGTTTGGATAATGATTTGGGGGGCTGTGCAGGTGAGTTAGAGGTGTTCAGGTGAGTGGGGGTCTGTGCAAGTAAGGGGAGAGATGGCTCTGGGAGAGGGGCTGGGCAGTGGACTGGCTGTGGCAGCTTGCTCAGGCTGACTCCCCGGCCCCTCTTTGCAGTGGGGTCCCCTGCATGTATTGGGGACAGCAGCTCTGGAAGGTCATCGGTCCATGAATCCCTGTCCTGTACATGATGCCCACACGTCCACGGTCTTCCTCTTCTTCATCGCTGTGTGGGGACACACTCCTGAGGCCACGCAGATTGCCACGGGTCGGAATGCAGCCCGCCTCTGCTGTGTGACCAGCCACGACGGGGGTCACAGCTGGGGCCAAGTGCGTGACCTCACGGAGGAGGCTGTGGGCAGCGCCCAGCAGGGTAGGCGGGGCGCCCTGAGGGGGGGGATCTGACTGGAGAAGCTGGCTGGAGCGGCCAGAAGGTCCCACCTTCCCTCCACCCCAGGCTGCTCCTTTGTCTCACACGGGTGGTGGGTGGCAGCCCCTTGCTGGGACAGCCACCCTTTCCCAGGCTGAGCACTGCCCAGGGGCCTCCCTCCCATGGACAGAGAGTGGCCGGTACTTCCTGGTGGAGCTGGGCCCTGGGCACAGCAGTTTGTGGGGAACCCTGGCACCGGGTAAGTGGTGTCCTCCTCCCTGCAGACTGGGCCACATTTGCTGTGGGCCCAGGCCACGGCGTGCAGCTGCGCTCAGGCCGCCTGCTGGTGCCAGCTTACACCTACCGCGTGGACCGGCGTGAGTGCTTCGGCCGCCTCTGCAGGACAAGCCCACACGCCTTTGCCTTCTACAGCGATGACCACGGCCACACCTGGCGCTGTGGGGGCCTCGTGCCCAACCTGCGCTCGGGCGAGTGCCAGCTGGCGGCTGTGGGCGGCTTGCTGTACTGCAATGCCCGGAGCCCCCTGGGCAGCCGCGTGCAGGCACTCAGCACCGATGAGGGCGCCTCCTTCCTGCCCGGGGAGCTGGTGCCCAGCCTTGCTGAGACTGCCCGAGGCTGCCAGGGCAGCATCGTGGGCTTCCCAGCCCCTCCCTCCAGCAGGCCCCTCGGTGAGGGGGCGCCTTGGGGCTCCAGGGGCCACCCCTCTCCTCCTTTCTGTCCTGGAGTGCAAGGGCCCTCTGAGGGGGGCGCTGGTGACAGCTGTGGCAGTGAAGGGCCTGGCGGGAGGGAGGGGTCTGCGGAGCCCCCTGGGGGCCTGGGTGGGGACACGTGGCTGCTGTACTCCCACCCGGTGGGGCGCAGGGCTCGGCTGCACATGGGTGTGCGTCTGAGTCGGGCCCCCCTGGACCCGCAGAGCTGGTCGGAGCCCTGGGTGATCCACGAGGGCCCCAGTGGCTACTCTGACCTGGCCTGCGTGGGGCCCTCGCCGCAGGGAGCCCTGGCCTTTGCCTGCCTGTTTGAGAGCGGAGCCAGGCTCTCCTATGAGGAGGTCTCCTTCTGCCTCTTCTCTCTGCAGCAGCTGCTGCGTCACGTGGGGCCCCCCCGCCAAAGGGCCAAGCCTGGGGGGCACTGCCAGCCCTCCTGATGGCCCAAGCAGAGCTGGGTGCTGCTCTGCACGGGGTCTGGGCTCCTGGGTTTCCTTAGGACCCTGTGAGGGCGGGTGAGGCTGGGTCCCTCCCGGTTTGGTCTCTGCGGGTCTCCAGCTGATTCTCCTCTGCTGCTCTTTCCTGCGTGGAGCCCCAGGCAGTGTTGGGCCCTTCTCGGACCCCTCTCCAGGGCTGTCGGGTGGGCAGGAGGGAACAGGGACAGCCTGATCTGTGTGACTCTGGGGCATGTCCACTTCCTGCCCAGCCCTCAGCTAAGCACCTCTTTGACTCCTCTATAGTCTTGATTTTTGGTGATAAATGTGAAATATACTCAGCGTGGATAAGTTGTGAAATGTAGGAGAGTATAAGGAGCACATGGGGGGTTCGAGCCCTGGTCGGTGTGGGCCCAAGCCCCACTGCATCAGCACTGGCCCCCAGCCCCTCTGGGAGTGGCCCCTACAGAGAGAACCCTAAAATGCGTCTCAGGCAGCAGAGATTGCCCGGCAGGGGAGGTACTTGCCTTGCATGGGGTCAGCCACAGTTTGATCCCCAACAACGCTGGGTATGACCCCCCTGAAATAAACTGCCTCCTCCACCACAGTCCAGTGCCTCTCTCTGGTGGCCCCTCCCAGAGTTCCCATGCTGGTCAGCTCCAGGCAAAAGCCCAAGTGGGGGGCCCTTGGGGCTTGTTCTTGTTCCCAGTTGTGATTCAAGCAGAAGGCATACCTCTGGGGTACCCGGGTGATTTCGAGTCTGACCACATGTGAGGGCAGTGTCCATCTCAAGGTCTACCCAGTCACACAGGCCATGTTCTTTAGGGGACTCAGGGTGATCTCAGCCATGGAGCAGGGCACTCCCCTGGTACTCACCTTTCTCAACACCCCCCCCTCCCCATGAGGTCACCTTGGGGGGGGAGCATCACTACTGGGCTCCAGCTACGACTGGAGCTAAAAGGGGCTTTGAACACCAACAGCCCTGGCCCAGAGACACAGCAGTGAGTCCCAGAAGACCCCACAGCACCGGAGATCTCTGGGCCCCATACTGAGCCAATATCACCGGGGCACCCCAGATGAAGCAGGTCCAGTCTCCCTGCCTACCCCAGATGGAATCCCGGTGACCAAGAGCTTCCACAAACAAGGCCTTCGGTATGCGGGTTCTAGGACTAAATCTCCAGGCCACATGGCAGCGGAGGACCTTGGTTATCCCTCCCCAGGGCCCCGCCCGCCCAGCAGACTAGCTGTCACGCCCACAATTTGCCTCTGGGCGCCATCTTAGCGCATCAACAGCCCTGGCCCAGAGACTCCCAGTTGGATCCCAAAATGGATCAGTGCCATACAGAGATGTGTCTGGAACCCAACCATTTACAATCTAGAAATTTACATTTACAAATGCGGCCACACGAGCTCTCATGGTATTCAAAATGAGCAATGGAAAATAAATTATCTAGCATCTGCCCCTGGCAGGTAGACTTGAGTGGTGGTGGGAAAATTTGAGCAAAACGTGGTACCCCAAATTAGAGAGAGAGTATTGGGGAAATTGTCTGCCATAGAGGCAGGGTGAGACTGGGATGGGGTGGGGGGGATACTGGGGACGTTAGTGGTGGAAAATGCACTGGTGGAGGGATGGGTGTTCCATCTTGTGTGGCTGAATCTCAAACATGAAAGCTTTGTAACTCTATCTCACGGTGATACAATACAATAAAAAAGTAATGTGGAGTTTATGCCCAATTCAATCAATGGCTGAATAAATAGCAGTACTCCTACATTATTTAAAAAAATAATAAAAAAATAAAAGGGACTTTGAGATAAGATGACAATGGGGTGGCGCTGGGCTGGTTCCTGAAAGTCCTGAGAGCAGCTGTGTAGAGACAGTGGGACCCAGACAGAGTGGCCGTGAGGGCTGGCTGTGGAGGCCACTGTGACCATTCCACAAGGGGCTCCAGGGGCCAGAGGTCTGAGCAACTGAGGGCAGGGCAGGGCAGGGCAGGGCTGAGCATGCCAGGGTGCAGATGCAGCTCCAGCCACAGCAGAGCTTACAGAGGTGCCGGGGTGTGGGGGGCAGAACAGTAGGAGGGAGGAGTTGGGGAGGGCCGGGAGCCGGAATGGGGGAGGTGCCCATAGGTGAGGTCATGGAAGCTGCATTCAGACAGCCCAGCACCCACACACCCACGCCCACCTGCAAACTGACTAATGTTCCACCAAGAAACCTAAAGAGTCAGAATGAGCCTCATCGCTGCAAGCATCCCTGGTGGGAGATGGGCCCCACTCGCTCCCCAGGAACCCACATTCCTCCCAGAGTCCCCAGAATCCCACTCCCCCTGATCATCCCCCATGCCCCTCGCCACAGACCTGCCTGGCCACCCTGGGTGGGCAGTGGTCCTCTGAGCTCCCTCCTTGCGCTGAGGAGACGTTGGGCCAGGAGTGGGCAGAAAGGCTGCTCGCCTTCTTGTCTGGCAGTGCCCAGCTGTGCAGAGCAGATCCTGGACCCTGGACTGGGGGATGTGCCCACCCCATGCCAGTGAAGATGTGGGACAGGGTGCAGTGGAGGCTCCCCATTCCTGAGTGGGGTTCAGCAAGCAAGCAGAAGCTGCGGGGGCCAGCTCTTGGTCCTGACATGCTGGGCCAGCTCGAGCTGGTCTCTTGGTTGGGTGTCGGGTAGGTGCTGACTGAACCGCGCAGAACTGAGTCAGTGCAGTAACTCAATGTCAACTCTGATTTTTGGTTTTAAGGGTTGCTGCCCACTAGCTCTTTGTGCACTGAGCTGACCCTCCATGTGGACGGCAGTGTCCAGTTGGGGCCCGGCAGATGGACAGATGGGAGTGCACCATCTAGGGGCTACCCCAGTGTCCTGCCTTGCCAGTCGCCGGCTCTGGACCAGTCCTTGGCAGGCCCCAGGAGCTCTTCTGCTGGGGTTCATGGGTCAAAGGACAAATGCTTTGCTCACAGAGAGCCCCTCAGTTCTCTTCTAGGTTGAATCCCCCATCCTGTCCCAGGGACCCCACTCCTCAAGGCCTCAACCACCCAGGCCCAGTCTGAAATTTTTTGGGGGGTGGGGGACAAACCAAGGGGTGCTCAGGGGTTACTCCTGGCTCTGTACACAGGACTTACTCCTGGCATTGCTCGGAGAACCATAGGCGTGCCAGAACTTGAACCCTGCAAATGCCCTCCCTGCTGTCCATCTCTGGCCCCCACGAGCTGTGTCTTCCATCCTGCCGTAACCACCATCTGTTGGTTGGATCTAGGCTGCACCCATACATAGTGTACATGCATGCATGGGTGCCTGTGGGTGTGAGCCGTGGCCGTCTGCCCCTGCCGTGCTCTTCTGACTGCCCATACTGTTCTGGCCTCCGGGGGCAGGGGCAGTGCACTGTCCACTTGCCCATTGTCTGGGAAGAGGCTTGGTGATCAGAGCTCGGGTGTGAGGTACACATCTCTCTTCTGGAGTGTGTGGCAGAATCAAGAGGGGCTCCTGCTCCCCCAGGAAGACCAACCTGCTCTCCTGTGCCCTCGGTCTTGCCTGCCCACCTAGCTGGCCTCTCTGGCTCCTGGGGTTTGAGAGAGTGTGTGAGCTCGGCGAGCCACCGCCCACAGGTGGTTTCCCTGTGGCCTTTCCCTTCCCTTGTCTCACCGCTCACCTTCCAGGCTGACCCGGGGGCTACATCTCCCCTAGGAACTTCCCCATGGCGGGACATGGGCTCTTTGGGGAGGGGGTAAACTTAGAGATGAGCTCAGGGGCCCCACAGCCACACCTGCCCCACGCTCTTGCAGCTGCTGTCTTCTCCATCAACAGACGTGAAGTGGCTACGCTCCCTCCCCGCTGGCCATCTGAGCATCTACATTTCTATTTCTGGAGTTAAATCACATCTGCCACCTGACTTTGGTCTCTGGATCTGTTGGAGAATATTGGGGTTTCTGGGAACAGACTCTTCCCTTCAGGCCCCTCTGGTGTGTGTCCCTGCCTGACTTCCCAGAGGGATTCTACCCGGATCCAAACAGGCTCTCAGAGCAAGCACAGATTGAGCACTCCCAGCCCCAGAAAGCCCAGGTGAGGCCCCAGGGGCCAGCTGGAGGGACATCCATGGCCAGACTGTGGCACGTCCACTCTGCATTGCAGCGTTGGGGGCTGGGTCCCCCACAGATGCTACCCTGCCTCTGTTACCCACCCACTGATGCTACCAGGAGGGACTCACAGGTCCCAGCCCCCAGGGACCACCAGAGATGCAGGCACCCTTGGCCACCCATGGGCACCAGTAGGCACCCCCTAGAGATGCAGATACCTGTGGGAAGTGGGCACCACCAAATATGCAGATATTCAGGGGTACCACTGCAAATGCAGACACCCGTGGGCAGCCGTGAGGATGCAGACACCTGTCAGCACCTGTGGACGCTTGTTGTCTGGGGTGTTCTGGCACAGGCTGAAGGAGCCCAGTCTGAGGGTTTCTTGTGCAGACACGGCCGGTGAATGTGGGGACAGACGGCATGGCTGAGATCAGGAGGCGGCCTTCCTCAGTGCCAGTCACTATTTAATGAGGGTGGCACGGACTGGAACCAGCTCTGATTATGCAGCAAGGACACAGGCCTGGCTGTGTGAAGGTGGCCAAGGTCAGACCGCTGCCCACCCACAAGGCCCTTAGAGCACCAAGAGGTGTCAAGAAGAGGCTCCCCAGAGTGACAAGTGAGCAGGACCTCACCTCCCCTGGCCCTTCATTGCCTGTGTGTTTTCAAGAGGTCCGGCAGCGCTCTACCTCTCCCGCCGCCCGCGTTTGGTAGTCTTGAGCCGTTTCCCCCACCCCAGGGAGGTCGACGGCGATGGGCAGGCAAAGGAACGAACGAGGGCCAGGCTGGTTGGTATCAATTGTAGTTTATTCCAATCTTCACTCTCAACTCTGACTCTGCCCTCTGGAGCCCGAGCTCCCCAGCCCGAACCTCAGTCTCTGCTCTCTCGAGCCCCAGCCCGAGCCTGAGCCCGAGCCCGAGCCCGAGCCCGAGCCCCAGCCTGA